AGTTCCTTCATTTTGAAGTTTAAGAAGAGCCTCAACGTCATCAATGTCGGGTTTATCATCATCTTTAAATTGTGAGTAAGTGTCGTCGATATCGATAGTTGGTGGCATTGATAGGTAGGGGTGCTTAAAAACCCGATCAACCCAACCTAACCCAACGCGAAATAACTCAACCCGAAGCAACCCGATGTCTAATCGAGTTGTATTTTTCAAAACGTAGGTATCGGATTGATATTGGGTTACTATTATTTGAACCCAACCCAACCCGATGAACCCGATATCCATTTATTTCTTAGATTTAATATGATTGTTGAATTTCTATTAATATATACACTAGACAATTACACTATCGCGTACGCTATTCATATACACATCTTTTCAATCTATTTATATTTCTATATAACTCATTCGTATATATGTTTAGTAACTATAAACATATATACGTAAATTGAGAAATTTAACTAGATGTGATATACGTAAGAAGTATGGATAAGTTGTATCAAATGGTTGATGATGAAAAAGAAGTTATGAGTAGAGAAATAACATATTCAATGTTAGAAGAATATTTTAATGTACCAAAGTATCAACCCAACCAACCCGTATGGTTTGGGTTGGGTTGGGTTGGGTTGCACTTTCGTTTGGGTTGGGTTGGGTTAAGATTTTTCAAACCGCAAGCATTGGATTGAGTTGTTCAAATGTCTTCAACCCGATCAACCCAACCCATTAGCACCTCTATTGATAAGTTCATGACATATTCATTTTCTTCCACATCTTTAAGCTCCACCTCTAATGATGTCGTGTGTTGAGTTCATTCACTGCTATCCAAATAATCCTTAAAGCATACACAACACTCCAAAAAAAATGACAACTGGGTGCTTTTAGATGATTTTCAATCATCAATATGAAATAAAATTAGGAAATCGTATTTAAACAAATACATTAATTAGTTTATAAGAATATCTAAAAAATGGTATTTTTCATCAAAAAAAAAAAAACATATAAAGATTCAAGAAAATCCAAGGGACTTTATTTTATTTTAAGTGATTAAGGGGCCTTTTACTTAAACATTTAACCGGTAAGCGTTTACCGGTAAAATTCAACTCTATTATTTATTTATCAGGTAAGATCTTAGTCTACAAAAACGACATCGTTTGTAATAATTTACCCGGTAAGCGCTAACCATGATAAGAGTTGTTTCCATCACTTACCGGGTAAGACTCTTGGTCCGTGCCTTCGCTCTTATCACGTAAGATTATTGGTACTTGTCATATTCATCCGATAAAAAAATGTGACTTGATAAATGTTTACCCGAGTAAGCATTTGGTAAACGGACCTAAAATGTTTTGTATAGTACTCTGGAAACAAATAAATCATTGTTCTTTATAAAAATGATTTAGTAAATCTTTTTGACCAAACATGTTGATTCTAAAAGTTTAATAAAAAAAAACCTAAAATCACTAAATATTCTGTTTATTTAAATATAATACTAAGGCGACGTTTATTTTTTAGGAGGTACTAAAGTTTAAAATCTAAAGTCTGATTTTACTTATGATTTATAAGAGATAGTGTTGAAGTTTGAAATCTGAATCAATAAGAGACTGTTTGGTTTTAATAGTGAAGTGTGAAATCTGAATCGATCAAATTAATGTAAAAAAATATAAGATAATTTTTTTTACAAAAGTATAAAAAATAAATAGTTTTTGCTAACAAATCTCTTACAACCCCCAAAATTTGAACCATTTAATAGAGCGGATTAAGATTAAGAGGCATCAAGGGATATTTTTACCACTTAAAATTTCATAGGACATTTAGAGCTTTGAAACTCTTATTTAAAAATAAAAACAAACGCTCTTGATACCAAAACGTTTGATCGAATCAGACTTCAGAGGTATTAATGAGGCTTACTCATAAGACTATCTTATTTGGATGATCTTATTTTTACAAAACAAATCTTATTATATAAAAATAAAAATGAATTATGTTTACAATCATCAATATATATACACACACACACACACACACACACACACTTATAATAAATAAGTAACTTGGGTGACATGTGTCATCTTCTAGTGAGTCGTTTTCTTGTTTCCCACCTAAACACGTATCTAGACACAATTTACATTAACAGTTCAGTTATACTCACTTGATTGACATGTGTCATCTTATTCAATCAATTCCACTAATTTAGAACGCAATTGATTTGGGTTAATTAATTCATGTGGTAACTGATTCCCAAAAAAAATGGTGTTTACTTCTAATTTTAAATTCAATTTACTGATATAATTTCATTTTTAAATTCAATTTAATTCTATGGTTAACTTTATTTTATTATAAATTCAATTTACTGAAAAGTTTTAGTTCATAGTTATTTCAAGAGAATAAGTCTGAAGACATTCTTCAGAGTTAGCTCACCCGAACTCTGAAGTTTGCTTTTTCAGATATAGCTCATCCGAGCTCTGGAGTATGAACTCTAAAGTCTTCTTTTTCAGATCTAGAAATCTGAACTCTAAAGTCTTTTTTTCAGACTTAGAAGTCTGAACTCTCAAGTCTTTTACGATTATGAAGATTGCAAGTCTGAAGAGTCATTCTTCAAAGTTATTTCACCCGAATTCTGAAGTCTTCTTTTTCAGACTTAGTTCACCCGAACTTTGATGTCTGAACTCTGAAGTCTTTTTTTCAGACTTAGAAGTCTGAACTATGATTTAATGGGATTGATTTTATACTTCAGAGTTATTTCAAGGAGTACAAGTCTGAAGAGTCATTCTTCAGAGTTATTTTCAGAGTACAAGTCTGAAGAGTCATTCTACAAAGTTAGCTCACCCGAACTCTGTAGTCTTCTTTTCTAGACGGAGCACTATGCAGAGCCTCTGACTTGCCTATATAGAGCTCTGAAGTCTGAAGAGTTTTACTTCAGAGTAATTTGAAGAGTACAAGTCTAGTAATAAACTTATCTAGACTTTGAAGATAAGTCTTTAAGACTTAGACTTAGTCTTGTAAGCTAGAGCACCTCTGGTTGGTTTGACTTCTGGATGCATTTGCTTCTGGTTGTTTATTTGAACTTTGGAAAAATATTTGAATCCATCATAAAGGAACCAGAGGGGATCTAATTGATTTTCATTTTAACCAGAGGGTCTCTTGTTGTTATTGGAACACAAATTCTGTAAGTATTTAACATTATTTTGACCCAGAGGCTCTGGATAGACGAACCAGAGGCTCTGGTTGACCAGAGAACCTTTGGTTGGCCTTGCTCTTGGTTGGTGAGTCCACAAGGGCTCTGGTCCTTAAGAACCAGATGAGCTCTAGTTGGTCTTGCTTTGTATGATACAAACTCTGTCATAGGGTCTTTTTCAAAGATATTGGGTATTTGAATAACTCTGAACTCAAGATCCTCAAACTTCGTCTTCAGATTTGACACAAGCGCTCTTGTAAGTTTAAATTCAATTTATTGATATAGTTTTATTTCTAAATTCAATTTTATTCTAGGGTTAACTTCATTTTAACTAATTATTGATATAGTTTCATTTCTAAATTCAAGTTTGAAGAGTCATTTTTCAGAGTTATTCTTCAAAGTTATTTCAATAGTATAAGTCTTAAGTCATTTTTCAGAGTTATTTCAATAGTACAAGTCTGAAGTCATTTTTCAGAGTTATTTCAAGTATGAAGACTCATTCTAAATTTACTTCTAAGTTAAATTTAATTCATTGATATAATTTCATTTCTAATATTATTATAGGATTAACTTCATTTTTACTAATTATTGATATAGTTTCATTTCCAAATTCAAGTCTGAAAAGTCATTTTTCAGAGTTATTATTCAGAGTTATACTTAAGGATTATTTCAAGAGTACATGTTTGAAGTAGCATCGTATATTCGATGATCATTTATATCTGTAAGATAAGTTCCTGATATAATTTAATTTTTTTAAATTACCTCTTGTAATACATGAGATCTAACCTAGTGTGTGTGTATATATATATATATATATATATTATTTTATAATTCTTCATTTACAATTTCAAATTAACTGTAACTTAGAGCATTAAACAATAATTTAAACATAATAATATGATAAGATAATTATACGTTTTATTTATTTTAAAGATAATTAAATAAGTATATTTGTTTATTTAAAATAAAACTTATTAAAATAAAATATAAGAAAATTAGAAAAAGTTTACAAGAAAAAAAATATGATTAATGATTTATATTGTTTACAGCTCCAACTTATACATACTTTAACAAATATGGTTTATAGATTTATTAAAATAAAATAAAATGATAAAAAAAACACACCCAGTTTTTATAAGAATGTGGTTAGACAAGAAACCATATCTCATACTCATAGTACCAAAATACCCATCAGTTAATATTTCCACTTCGTACTTGAACCAAATTTTATAGCAAATTACAAACATTACCCATGGAATGGAAGATAGATTTCTTTGAACTAAGGGGTCGTTTACTTAAATACTTACCCGGTAAACGCTTAACGGTAAATTTTAACTCTATCTCTTATTTATCGGGTAAGATTTTAGTCTACAAAAACGACATCGTATGTAACACTTTACCCGGTAAGCTCTAACTGTGGTAAAAGTCGTCGCCATCACTTACCGGGTAAGACTCTCAGTTCGTGTCTTCGCTCTTACATGGTAAGATTCTTCGTCCTTCCCATATTCATCCGGTAAGGGAATATGACTTGATAAGCGCTTACCTGAATAAGCATTTGGTAAATGACTCCTAAGTATTCCACCAAATTGGGTAAATTATTGTTCATTTCACCAACTTTGATACAAGATTCGCCATCCCTGTGGCAAATTTGGTATTTAACGTCTGAAACTGTTCAGAAAACTATCCAAATATCCGATCGGAGACAACAATCATCACAAATTCACAATCTTCCATCAAATCTCTCTCTCAAATCATAACTATATTCATCATCCTCGTATTCTCTACCTCCTTTTCGGCTTTTATGATATAATATATATATATATATATATATATATATATATATATAAGCCAATTCATCTTATATGGTATCATATATAAATATGATCTACTAGTCTAACCACTTGGATCAGCCTTCCTCCTCAAGTGCTCCTTGAAACCCATTATATCACCTTGCCATCGAGTCACGGCTTGATTCTCGCACACCCATATCTCGTGCGCAACCTGGTTTATGAGCCGGAAGTCGTGGCTAACCAGCACCATTCCGCCATCCCACTCATTCAGTGCATCAGCCAGCGAGTCGATTGTCTCGATATCCAAATGGTTAGTTGGCTCGTCCAAAAGCAGCATGTGTGGTTGCCTATACGCTAACCACGAAAATATCACACGGCTTCTTTGTCCGTCTGAAAGATTCTTCATTGGCATCACCTGTGCTTTCCCCGTCAGCCCAAACCTGCCGATGGCTGCCCTCATCTTCTCCTCTTCGTTTCCCGGGTACTCGCTCATCATATAAGCCAAAGCCGACATTTCCAGGTCAAGTTTTTCCGCTAAGTGCTGGTGGAATTGAGCGATCCTCAAGTGGTTGTGCCGCCTTACCATGCCGTCAAGCGGAACTAGTTCTCCGCTCATCAGCTTCAGCAGCGTGCTCTTCCCAGCTCCATTGGGTCCCACCAACGCTACCCGTGAGTCAAGGTCAACCCCAAAGTCAAGATTCTTGTAGATGAGGTTATCGGGTGTGTAACCAAAAGAAACTTCCACAAACTGTAGGACGGGTGGCGGGAGCTTGCCCACATCAGTAAATTGGAAGACCAGAACCTTGTCTCTCGTGACCACCTCTGTGAGCCCGCCACGCTCCATTTTGGCTAGGGTCTTCTCCTTGCTCTGAGCCTGGCGGGCGAGCTTAGCGGACCCATGGCCAAACCGAGCAATGTACTCTTTCATAGAAGCAATCTGGTCCTGCTCCCATTTATATTGTTTCATCTGGTTCTCTTCTAGTTCGGATCGGGTCTGAACATATTGGTCAAAATTACCAGTGTACATCTTCAATTTCTTATTTTGCATATGGATTATGTTGGTGCAGACGCCATTCAGAAAGTCTTGAGAGTGCGAGATCACAACAAGTATGCGTTCAAACTTCTTCAGGGTTTCCTCCAGCCACACACATGCTTCCAGATCTGCGTTGAATGGGAACATTAGCAGAGGCAGATCCAGAATTTTTTTCAAGCGGGGATACAAAATTAATTAGCATAATATAAAATAAACAACTAATTATAAAAAGCATTGTTTTATTAAAAATGACATATCAAGTGTTTTTTTGCAACACCCAAGTGTATTTTTCCTTTTTATTTCCCGGTGTTGTTACCAAAAAATTAAAAAAGGGCCAAAGAGATTCGAACTTGCAACATGTAATGCTACACGCACCGACACTACCAGCAGTCTAGCCACTTTTTGTTAACTTAGGAGAGAACAAATAAAATTAAGGTGAATGCAACTTTAAGACTCCTAAAAGGTTTCCACTACGTCGACATGATGGGGTGCGGTAGCACAGGCAACCCCTCCCTCCTTATATCCGGCCCGGAATATTAGACCTCTCCATAGTTCGAGAGCATCCTCATAGTGATCTCCGGCCACTGCCATGAATATAAACCAACCAAATGAGCCCAATAGACCCCCCACCCGGATGTGGCCATGTGGGTGTGGGAGTGGGATGTATGTAGGCCTGTCCTCTACCTTGAGAGTAAGCGGCTCATGTGGCCACCACCACAAATATAATGCAAATCAAAAGCAAAGTAGTCAATAAACTTGAAAACAGGGACAGGCCTCATGAAATGCACAAGAATTGGAAGAAAAAATTATGTTACAAAAGAAATAACGCACCAAGATGATTTGTGGGCTCATCAAGTAACAAGATGGTGGGGTTCATGAACAAAGCACGAGCCAATGCAATCCGCATTCTCCAACCACCAGAGAAGTCTCGGGTTTTCTTCTCTTGCATCTTCTTGTTAAAACCAAGACCATTCAGAATCTCAGCAGCACGCTTCTCAGCAGTGGATGCATCCATAGCATCCAAGCGTTCATAAACTCGTTCGAGAGCTTCTCCACCACCATCATCCTAAAACCACAAAAAGAAGTACAATCACAAGCCTTGAATCCCTAATAAACGGAACAGAAATTTGTTGTCTAACGTTTGGTGCGATATTTAGACCCAGACAAGACAGCATTTAGTGAGGCAAAAATGCATTTTTTTGTCCCATCAAAATAGGTGGAACAAAAATCAGGGAGATGATACAAGATTGGTAAATTACTAAACTACCCCGGTCAAATTCAAAGCCTAATATCATGCACAATTTTTTCACCCAACCTACCTCACTCTCACACGCCCAGTCATGTCCAGTCCTGCGTACCAAACACACCCTTGAAGACAAAAAAAAAAAGTTGAGGGTCAAATATGCACCTGACCAATTAAGCGTTCAGCCTCTTCCTCCAACTTCAGCCTCTCTTCATCACAATTCATCACAGCCTCAAGTGACGACATATCAGAAGCTTCGATCTCTCTGGTAAGATGGAATATATCCATGTGTTCTGGAATAGGAAGCTCTCGTTGTCCAATTGAAGTAAGAAGAGTAGATTTACCACACCCATTCAACCCAAGCAAACCATATCGCCTAAAAGGTCAAATACGATGGATGAATTACAGATAAATATACATATATTTGCCTCTACTCAATGTAACTGACACAAACCTTCCATAGTTGAGCTCCAGCTCTGAATCAACAATTAGATCGTGCCCATGAAAAGTAAGTGATAGAGACTCTATCTGCAATCACAATTAGAGGTCAGAATATATATGATGCCCAGAGAGCCAGCATGATAATCCAGAGTTGACACGATACTGTCAGAATTATATGAAAAATACACAACTTTTTTCTGGGCTATAACAAGGAACAGATCATTCATGAAATTACCTCTTATAATAACGTTGAATAGAATCAACACATTCAGATAAACGTTAATAAAACCAGGCAACATTGATGAAAGAACACCCTGATAATATGCCCATCTGACTAGGCAATTGTCTAGGTGCCACCACAGCCAGAACACTTTGATAGCACACCCATCTGACTAGGCATTTGTATAGGTGCCACCACGGCATCCAGCAAATGCTGTTCTTAACATAAAAAACAATCAAGGATCAACAAGAGAAAGAAATAAAATCTAAAATATGAACGTTGGTCTAAAATGAGATTTGGTTCATGAACTTCAAAATATCAACTATGAGCTTGTTAACTTGGTGATGTGCACGATATTTGCCTCCATGGCTGACTTTTGCTTTTTTTTTTGTCCAGCAAAAACCTTGACATGCTGAAATATAGGCCCATGTGGGTGACCTTTACCTTTGCTGGTCAAAATTGAACATATTAATAGTTTACCATTGATTAGTTGATGATGAATATTGCCGTTACATTACTATTTTTGTTTTTACGTACAATCTGCTAAACATTTTATGTTTATTTATAAATTTAAAGGTTAATACATGGATTTTTCCAATTGTATATAAAATATAAAAATAAAATTGTATGATATAATTACTTGCTTTCATCAAACTCCAACAATTCACCAACCTTTTGAATTACAAATTCATCAGCACTTCATCTTCTTCACTGACACCAACAGTTTCATGAAGAGTTCTTCTTCTTCACCAACATTCCACCATTGATGCCATTGATTAAGTCCAACTACAATCCTACGACAAATGAAGCCAAAACATTTTATATCCACGCTTATTCTGAACTGACTCTAAAAGCGAACTAAAATCTGAAAAAGTATTCCCATGTCCAACTCGAAGCAACCCCAAAAAAGATTATAACGCTTTCAAATAAAACCTAAATTAAACTCAAAATGGTTTATTTTTTACTCAAATCAAGCTCCAAAGTGGGTTCGATTGGGTCCAAGATTGAATCTAAACCAAAACTTGTGTGATTGTGTGAACCCAAAATCGATCTTCAACCCATTCTCGACAATGGAGGTGACAGTTAAGCTCCCAAGAAAATGAAGTTACCAAAAGAGCATTGGCCAACAGTACCTGGGTTACTGGTAGAACCCAGTCTCCCAGGAGGTAAAGGGTTCACACCAAAGATGAGAAGTGTGTTTGATTAGTTGTTGTATATAAATGTTATAATATACTTTAAAAAAGTAGGTTACAAATTCAGATTATAACATCATATAAAACTAATAAATACTCCCCTTCTTTCACATGCAAATTATAACATTTTGCTAAGTACAATATAGCTTAAGTGTTTGACTATTAGTCAAATGCCTCAAATACCGTTTTACGGTTACAAAAGAGAGTCGTGAAGATGCAATCGATATGAACATCTACACTTCCAGTCGAGTTTTGGAAGTTCCACAAATGGAAAAAAATGATGCAATTTTTTATTTGACATCTCAGAAAAAAAACATTACAATGATGTAGTTATAATGTGTATATGATATTTACTACATAAACTACATATATGTTTTACCATATCTATTTTTATAAGATAAGTAAATAATAAGCATCAAATTCGAAAGTCATACCTTTAGCATTGTAGTTGTACTCAACTAGAAATAACCTATGGTTACACATTTGCAGAAATTACTTCTACTCAATACAGGATTAAAATTAATTTGTTACAAAACAATATTTACAAAAAATGTACGGTGGTGAACTTGAAAAAATCATTAGGGTAAAATGGTCCATGTTAGATCTTTAGGTCAAAAAATTGAAGCCCCATAAGATACCATAAAAGTTTGCAAGCCCATAGTTGAGATTTTATAGTTCACGTGATTCATCAAATCCCTGTAAAAAACCAAGTTTATTGGACTATATAGCATCATTCCCCAATAAGAGAATATGAGAACTCCACAATATGATGGTAGCAGCTCAATTTTTGGACAACAAAACTTGAATCACAGCTAGGACAAAGCATTAAGGTCCACAAAAAGAATCAGATTATCACATCCAACCACTAAAAGAAGAAAGGGCTTCAATGAAAGCCTAACCAATACTCACTGCCTTTAGGCACAATGTTTTAAGAAAATGAGGTCAATGGCATAGCTCCAATAAAGCTCCATGATATTGCATATGAAGAAATGACACAGAAATACAAGAGATGTTTTCTAAGATTTCATGACCCCACAGTTCTACAAAAATTACAAGCAATTTCAGGTAGAAGTTAATTACAACATGCTAAAGCTAATAGTATAAGAAAGGAACTTGGAGAAGACTTGGAAAACAAGAACCGTGACGTGCAATTTTGTTCCCTTGCAAGTTGGGACTCAATTTAAGTTACTTGTTAGGCCTGAGACCTACAAAGCAATTGTAAATCAGCCTTGAACGTAGGCCCAAGAACCGATTGAAGAATCATGGAGTTTCCGGGGAGATTTTTGAGTACAAGTTGAGGTTCGGGCTCGAAGTTTCGGCAGTGAATTTAAGGTGAGAAATTCAACCTTAAACCTTAAAAATGTATAGTACAAAACTTGTTGTGTGCTGTTTCTAAATTAATTGCTTGAGTCAATTGTGGCTCAAAGCCACTAGAAGTTCCAACGATGCTAAAAGTTTAAAATTGATTATTTTAAACCTTGTTTAAGAAAATTAATTTCTGATTTGGTCCATGATAATCTCTAAAGATCATAATTCTACAAATATTTTTACATGCTTTTTTAATTTGAAATACTAAAACTTGTTTCTCTCTAGCGGCATAGTTCTATCGACATAACTTGGGAAGATGGATTAATTTATAAAATATGCATTACTTTCGGCAATAAGTTAAAAGTGTATCAAACATTGATAAGAGACAAAATAGTATAAGCTTACACCACAGAATAATGAACTCATTGTAAGAAACAAGTTACAGTAATATGTAAAACCTAATGAATGCAATTTTTCTTTCTTTTTAAGAAGTGACGGATGCAAATATCTATTTCATTTGTTCCATAGCATTCTTGTACAGGTTTCTGTATCCATTGATGCACATTTATTCGAATTTATGGGTACTTGTGTTAATTGTGTAGTGTTCGATTCGAACTCTTTGCATTTATTAGATATCGGATTTCATTTCCCATTCATCATTGTATCACATGTTTGATTACCCACTAAATTTCATATCCGTATTGTCTAAATCGAAATTCAATTTGATTTGATTGTCTTTGACACATTCCCTACGCGTGATCACATCACATGTGTTGCGGGACACACCTCCCTATGAAACTAATCATTTGTTTGATTTCGATATTCTTTGATATATCCTGGTCATATTTGAGACTTTGTAGTGTTGCATGTGTTGACACATTGATTCTGGGTATGTCAAGCTATTAACCACCTATGTGGTACCATAGGAATGTCCTTTGGCACTGATTCTGGGTACGTCAAGCTATTAACCACCTATGTGGTACCATAG